TTTACTTGACGACGTACGAAAGGCATACGCGGAAGATAAGGATCTTCTGCGATTGATGGATCATCTGGTGAATCCATCCAGTAAATCCATGAGGGATTTACCGGCTTTGTACCGATCCTCATCGGATCGGTATAGTACACGCAACGGATTGCTGTACTATACAGCTGTTGCCGACGACACGCCTCGTGTCGTCGTACCCGCTCATCATGATTTGCGATTGCGCATCATGTATGAGTGTCACGATGCCCCAACAAGCGGCCATCGTGGTAGAGAAAAGACTTACCTCACGGTAAGTCGCGACTTTTACTGGCCCCGCCAGTATCAGTTTGTTCGCAAGTACATCCGTGCTTGCGAAGTATGTCAACGGGTGAAGCCTAGTCCTTCATCCCGTGCGCCATTGCAGCCTCTGCCTGTTCCGACAGAGTGCTGGCAGTCCGTTTCAATGGACTTCGTCTTCGGGTTTCCCGAAGAAGCTCACAAGAATAATGGTTTTCTTGTGTTTGTGGACCGATTCAGCAAGATGGTCCATCTTGCACCTGTCCCTGAGTCAATCAAGGCTCAAGGTTGTGCTCGTGTCTTTCTAGACACGGTCTTTAGACTCCACGGGTTACCCCGTGAACTCGTATCCGACCGTGACCCTCGGTTCACGGCGGAATTTTGTCAAACCGTGTTCCGTACTCTCGGAACACGATTGAAGATGTCCACTTCTGACCATCCAGAAACAGATGGTCAGACGGAACGTGCGAACCGTGTCCTCGAAGAGATTCTTCGAGGATATGTCCACTCGTTTCCGAGTTGGAGCGAATTCCTACCCATGGTGGAATTCGCCATCAATAATTCGGTGCATGCTTCCACACAGCACACACCGTTTTACGTGAATGGCCTACTCCATCCACGTGTGCCCACCCTTCTAGAGTGTGACTCTTGGATAAGGGGAAGAGGGACTCGCTCGAGCAAAAATCGTTTGGGCTCTTGCTCATCACGTGTCGACGCAAACGTCGTCACGTATGATGCCGATGTCGATCAAGTCGACATCGATGAAGAAGATCATCTCAATAATAGCGTCGCCGCTATTACTGACTCGGATGATGATGATGATGCTGGTATATTCAGCATCGTCAACAATTATGCCAGCGAGGAAGAAGACAACCTCGCTGAAGAAGAGAACAATCTCTTAGCAGTGCGCACGAAGCGCACTGAAAGACAAAACAAAGAGTCAGCAGAGAGCTTTCTGCTGACTCGAGAAGCGGTAGTCCGTTTCGTTCAGGACGCCATCGCAAATGCGGTGGACCGTCAGAAACGGAACGCAGACAAGAATGGAAGAGCAAATGTTCTTTCATTTAAAGTTAATGACCTAGTACTACTGTCAACGGTAAACCTACCTGGACATGCAGTCACTAGTGTCGGCAGTAGTAAACTACTGCCGAAATACATTGGGCCATTTCGAGTGTTGCATCGCAAGGGCAATGCATACACACTCGAATTGCCACGTAGGATGCGCACGCATCCTACGTTTTACGTGGGGAGGCTTAGGTCGTACTGTCAGCACGAGCCTTCTTCTTCCGATGAAGATAGCCCCCTCGTTCAAGAACATCCATCAAGTTCTTGCGTTCGCGCTCCAGACGATCCTTCTGGTCGCGCAGATATGATACCTCGGAACTCAACCGAGATATCTCCCCGCGAGCTGTCGCCAGCTCGCCGAAAAGGGAGCGGACATCCCGCTCGACCTGAAGCTGCGCCGTGGCATAATCGGCGCGATCCCTCGCCCGATCAGCCTCGTGACCCTTGCGGTTCTTCCGCACGGTGTCGGTCAAAGCGTAGCGCCGGTCGCGCTCGTGCTTCAAGTCATCGCGCAATTCATCGATTGCGCGATCCATCTCGTGAGGGTCGAGATGGTGGGCCTGGGGTTCTGGAGGAGGTCTTTCCTCCTCCACCACATCCTTTGGTGGATGCTCACGGTGATCAACGCTTTCTAGTGGAGCGTATCTTGAATCACCGTGACGATTCAGGATCAAGGACGAGCTACCTCGTCCAGTGGCGGGGGTATCCACCCTCTTGGAACAGCTGGGAGCCCCGCTCTCAGCTGTTAATGGATGTTGAAGGTCTCGTCCACCAGTATGACGAGACCCATCCGATGAGTCCTGTGGCCCATCGGTAAACACGCGCCCTAGGCGCTTGTAGACGGATTGCAAGTTTGCAATCGCGTCACGCATCTCGCCCGAGAGATGTGCCCTTCCCCAGGGCGAATTTAGGGAGTACACATCCCTATGTGCACGGTAAGAGTTGTCAACACAACTCGCACAAGGGTCTCCCCAAGTGAGGCATGGAATGCCGGCCTCACTTGATAGGCGATGCAACCGGTACCTGGCACTGGTTGGCGTTCTCTTTTCGAACCTGAGGCGTGTTGCCTCAAGTTTCTTGAGCCACCCTTCTCGTCCAAAATTCTTTACGTTTTGGACGAACGCGTTCCACGCAGCCAAAAGCAATGTTTTGTCACGCTTTTGGTTGCTATTGTACCATCGATGTCTAAGGAAGACATCGAGATAAAAATCTTCTTCAGCGCGAAAGTTCTTCGCGCTGAGATCCAAGCCGTGAAGCTCAGTCGCATCGAATAAGGGTATTCGATGGTGTTGGCCTGTCTCGTGAGACAGGCTATTGATGAGTTGTTCGGGCAAACGCCACGGCTTCAACTCATCACGCTTCACAGTGGTACCCTTGTCGGTACCACGGCTCCCAGATTGACGACGGCTCGCGCCATCGTCATCACGCTCGTGCGAAGACGCACGAGCCGGCGGTGGTGAAGAATAGAACTCACCACCCTGATGATCGTCATCACTGCCGAACCGACTGTGATGCGAATCACGAGTCCGTTCGTTCGGCAGTGGCCTTGGCGAATACTGAGGCGTCGCCGGTGAGCGAGACGCCTCTGGAGCATTGCCCGAGTCAGACACGTCTGACTCGCCAGAGTAGATGACCTCCACATCGGGGTCATCGTGCGCACGCGGCGTGATACCGCGTGCACCTGCAGCACCTGTCGCTGCAGGCGAAGAAGGGGCGGCAGACGACGAAGCGTCTGCCGCAGAGGCTTGCACAGCACCAGGCTGTGTGGGTCTTGAGTCACCTCGCATAGACATGTTAACTATGCGAGGTCAAGCGGAAAGTGAGTGGAACGGACCAAACAAGTGCTCCCTGTCCCAATGGTGGCCAACGGGTGGCCTCCATATTTCGATAGTCACACGGTGACTATCAGTTAAGGGGGGTGATGTAACGGGGCAGCCCGTTACATGATATTGTCACTTAAGGAAAGTGACAATAAAGAATATAAGATGGATATTCTATAAACAATATCACCAAAGTGGTGATATTGAAGGGTCGACCAAAGGGTCTGTTCATTGGTTGATATCGTGATGATATCAACCCACCAATCGCCGCAAGACGCGCGCAATGAGTGGTGACGAGACGTCACCATACATGCAGTTATATTAGTATAATTGAATTAAGTCAAACGAAGAGACAGTAGTTTAAAGACTTAATTTATTAATATAACAGTTCTACTTTTACCCTACCTACGCTTCCTCGCTCGCCACGTGTACGTCCGTCGGGGCACCCAAATCCCTTGCGTTAAGTTACGCAAGGGTGTGCCCCGTTACATGTTGTCCGATCGTTTGATTGTGAATGCGAAACCTGCCTCTAGTATAAACTTTTTTACATGATCCATAAGCGCGTTTCTATTCGCAAAGACGGTTTGTGTGTTCAGTTTGGCCATAATGTGGTAGCGTGGTAAGATGGTCTGGTGGTGTGGCGTTATCTCAATTATTGAATTTATAGTATGGTGTGGTGGAACTTGTAAAGTATTGTGCGGCGGAATTTGTTGAAAGTGTGGTGGAGCTTGCTGGAAATGTGTTGGAAAAAGCAAAAAAGGGATGGAAATCGAAATTCCCATATTATATTTTATCAACACGAAAGAAATGCTAGTAACATTTTAATCGCGTCACGAGCGGTACGTGCAATGGATATTTAGGCGCTGTGAACAGAGAATAATGCGACAGCTCATTAAGGAGGATCGTGTCCTATATGTACCAAACGCCATGATGCAGCCCCATTTTTGACTGCAGCTGACTGTAATGGAGAAAGCAGCCAAGTCACATCAATGGACGCAGCGAACAATTGAAGTTACTAAATGCAGTGAAAGCATACATGCATGGTGTGTAGTGCACCCAGGTACCCGAATCGTGAACACGTCCTATAGCTCGATGCATTTGCACGACGCGACCTATGTTTTCACCATATGCCTCGAGCGCTACGACGATTGAACAAAGATAACAAAGCAGTGTGACTGAAATATGCTTGTTCGGTATCGTGGAGGAGATATCCGGTCCAAGGCGCATACACGTTACACGCTTTGGCTGGATATGAATCGACCAGCCGACTGTGATCAAGTTGGAAGTCCGTGGCAACATACGCGTCATCGTTCGGTGTTACGCGAGTGCACCATTTGCTGAAGTCGGGTGAACCTTCTGTAAACGCGCATGTATGAGACGCCGATGTCACACGTAGGCCGGCCAGCCACGCGTGTTACGAGACGCAAATCATAACTAAGCGTTTCCCAGTGCTTGCTAACAATCGACCGAGGCCGTCGACCAGGGTGTGTCTTGCCCAAGAAGCTTAGACAGGATCCACCACTGTGCGGGCCGATTCTTGTTGAGTAGGCTTATCCAGAGCCAGCAAAGCATCTACAAGTTCTTCTATCCATGTCCTGATGGCCAGATCGAAACATGATAAATGCCCGCAGTTCTTCAGGTCTGAACCCAAAAAGCAGTAGTTCATAGACGGCATTGTCACGATATTGTGATGCTCTCGGTCATGACCACATACTTCAGGAAATGTCCAAGCCACTTGCAGATGTCGGTCTCTAGCAGTAGGACCATCACGGCGTATTAGTTAGATCTACAGACCTGTCCCCAAGAGTTCCAGCTGAACGCTGTAGATGGTCCATCTGCTCACCCCGGCAACATCTTCAAGGTCACGTCTGGGTCCTTGGCCTGCAATAGTAGAAGTGCCTTACCCGCGAACTTCTTACTCTCTTCTATCCCGAGGAGATAATTTAAAAACGCCATCACGTTTTCTGGTTTGCCTTTCTCCACCAAAGTGTCGACGAAAAATTGTTCGGGAAAAAAATGGTTGACCACGAGCGGACTACCTTCTGCCTTAGTTATCTCGAGTGCCTCCTGGTATCGTCGTTTGTTGGTGAAGCGCACATATGTGAGCCACTGCACGAGGTTACTGAAGATCTCATGATACCTCGCCGGCTCTTTAAAGCCGCGCTCTAGGAGGTCCTCAGAGATGGGCAGCAAATGGAAAAATTCCTCAGGGCTTACGCCAGCATCCCGACACGCATCTCTCATCAATCTTCCGGCATCGTCGTTTCTCACGGCTATCGCTCTCAGCAAGCTGTGGGCCATGTCATTCGTACCATCAACGTCACGGTTGCGAACCAAGGTCGCAACGGAATCCATAGTATCTTTGAAGCTAAACTCTGGATCTTCGACGGCAGCACCGGAGGTATGGGTTTCTACCCCAAGAGGATAGCGACCCACTAGCGATTGAAGGTATGACATCGGGTTTTTGGGGCCCTTAGGGAGCGCCCCGAAGTCTTTCTGAGCGCCCGTCGGATGGATGTCGCGTGCTGGAGAGAAGAACTTCGAAACCTTGCTCACGAGTGACTCGACAGAGGCCTCTGTTGAGGCTATCGACGAGCCGGGTGCTCTCTCCTCGTTGTAAGGGTGAACGTGGCCGTACTCCGATTCAGCCGGGTTGCGTGGTCCCAAGATTCTTGGCATACCAGACCCGTCGGTCTTCAGATGCGAGGCACGAGCGGACTTGTAATGAGTGTCATCTTGGGTGTGATTACCGGTTGGTACCAGCGTTGGTTCTGCAGCGGTCCATTGAAAGGCGACAAAAGACATGAAAAGTGGGAAAAGCATGCACATCGAGTCGATGGAGCACTTTATAATATGAGAAACCGCATTGTAGAACGTCGTGGCCGCACGCTCAGGACCACCCAATTCTTGCCCGGCGTTTGACCAATGGAGTGGCTTCCAGATCTGGTCGCCGTGTCAGCACCCACTGTAATGGGGTTGAGTTTCGTCTAATCAGCGCTAATAAAAGTTATACCTTATGTGTTAATGGGAACGACAAGTGTTAGCCACCGGACGTGCGTTCCTCAACATGTACGTATTACGACCATAAAGTCTATGTATGAGAAAGGTTTTTTTAGGATAAGGTGTTTAGTCATGTCGGAGGAGGCCCCGTTTAAAAACGATATACAAAAATGCCGCAGATAACCAATTATATAGAAAAACGATTATGCTCCATTATAACACGAAAAGAAATACAGATAGCTCACAGTTAGAGGGACCACGGTTAAAGGGCAAACACAGTTTTAAACCGCATTTTACTAGACAAAAAAACACATACGAAATTTAAGTGTATTATTTCTATTGCACAGCTATTGGACAAAAGAACGTAGTGACGCCCATCACCCGTCCCATTCTCTCCACGCAAGGACAATTCGCAACTTCCGAACACCTCCGCAGACAAACACGACGTACGAATGGCGCCCCGAACGCACCTTTCCTTCGTCCAGAAGAGAGCTCTACAGACACACCAGCGAGAGAACCCTGGACTCACGCAAGCCGATCTCTGTCGATGGGCGCTGTTAAAGTTTGGAGTCCGTGTTGCACGGTCCACGATCAGCAGGATTCTAAGCGAGGACATTACTGTCATCCTCAATCCAAGAGCCAAACGGCAGCAGAAGGGCAGACATGCCGAGGTGGAGAAAGCCCTGTTCCATTTTGTGCTCGACACTCAATAGTAGAGTCACGTTGACCGACTTCATCCTCCACCAGAAGGCCAATCAACTGCTCGAGGACGCAGGTGTAACGACGACGCTCTCGCTTTCGTGGGTGTCGAGGTTCAAAGCCCGACACGGCGTCAAGTCTTATCGACTGCATGGCGAGGCGGCCTCAGTCGAGATAGAGACCCTTCACCAGCGGCGCCAGGAACTCCGGACCCTTCTCGACGGCTACGCGGAGTGCGATGTTTTCAATATGGATGAAACCGGCCTATTTTATCGCATGATGCCTTCGTGGGCTCTGAAACGATGCCTTTGAGTGGCAAGAAGAAAGATAAGTCGCGCATTTCGATAGGACTATGCTTCAATATGGATGGGACTGAAAAAATGAACCCTATCGTGATCAACAAGTCTCTCATCCCCCGTTGCTTCAAAGCCATCGACGTTTCCAAGCTACCCGTCCATTTTAATGCAAATGCAAAGGCATGGATGACTGGCAGTATCTTTGCATATTGATTGAAAGCGTTCATTCTCAAACTGAGTAGGCGAAAAGTTCTTCTGCTGCTCGTTAACGCGACCTCATATGTCAATTTGGAGCTATCAAACGTACACATTTACTTTCTTCCGCCAAATACCACCTCCCATTTTCAGCCGATGGACGTGGGTATTATTCGCAACTTCAAGCTCAAGTAAAGGGCCCAATTCGTGCAGTGACTACTGGACATGGTGACGGCAGGGACGGAGGACAAGAAGCTCGACGTTCTAAGCGCAATCCGTATGGTGGTAAAATCGTGGGCTGAGGTGTGCCCTGAAACGATTCGACACTGTTGGATCCACAACGGAATCGTGTCGGGAGTTATAACAGCAGTGCTTCGTAGGCAAGACGGGTCGGTCCGTCTCAATGATCTCTCATTCCTGGCTAATCTAATCGACAAACTATCCTTATCTGATGAAATGGATGCAGACAACTATCTAGAGTGTGACATCATCCTGGAAGAATAGGAACCAGACTCCGCTGCAACTGCCACCTCTGAGCCATTTTCGCGTGATAACGACATCGTCGGAGACGAAAATCCCATCTTCACTCATCCCGACGCGCTGAAGCTGCAATACAATTGTCTCCTACCTATTCGTACACAAGATCGATATTGCACATAAGATTGATATCGTGGGGATGCAACTGCTGACAGAGAAATGCCGCCATCAGCTTCAACAGAGCATGTTCCAGCAGCAAATCACCGATTATTTCTCGAAAGAGAAAGCTCGGTGGCCCATACTGAAACTATCAGCACTTACTTAATAGCACGCAAAAAAGTAACTGATATCAGTATATTAAATCACCTAGATTTTTACATTTTTCTTCTAACCTTACTTTCCTAGAAACTTATTCTAATTATTCAGTTCCTATAGAACATTCCTAAAGATTTGTTTATCGTATTTTAACAGAAACGAAGTGGCGTCCTTTAATTAGTTTCGATCTTAAGGACACAGCCGAGAGTTTGTGGACAAATCGCACTATCTAATTGTGAGATATCTGTATGCCCCACGTCGAAGTATATTTAAGTCAATGTGGCACAAATGAAACTTCATTCTTTAACACTAAATATTTACATTATATGTATGGTTGGACAAATTAACAATGGAAAGCGACGGCGATCAACACCTACCTTACAGTTTGTAAAAAATTAATTAAAGGTAATCGAGCAAGACCGGCGTAACTCAAGCATACATCATATTGAAAAACAATAGATTCAACCGTCCGATTCTCGTGATAATGAAAGATCGACAACATTACAAAGCCGAATGCACATTCGATGACTGTCTTGTAGCAACATGGCAACAATATCAGCAACCACAACACTTACAACAACATGATCAGCAGCTTAAGTAGTAGCAACATCACCAATAACAACAATAAAACCTTCATATTTAGCAACAGGAGTTGCATCAAAAGCAATTTTTACAGAAGAACAACAACAGTATCAGCTACAGCAACAGAAGTAGCAGCAACAATGACGCTATCAATTAAGCATCAGCGACTAAAGCAACCATAACAATAACATAATATCAACAACATTAGGACCGACTGACCGTGTTTACGGCTGCGACCGTTAATAAGACGACGCGATTACGTCCCCATATGCCGCATCTGCGGTTGCAACTAAGTGCTGCACGCGCAACACGCCCGTGGCAGAGCCCTTTTTGCGGCTTCCCAAACAGAAAGTGGGTTGGTCACGGCCGTGAACTGGTAAAACAAAAAATAATTAGTACGAGAGGTTTTCTGTGTGATACATAAACGTGGGTATGCTAGGAAATGGTGCATTTATTTAATTATGATATGAAAATTGCTTCAAAGAATAATAGTATATAAAATGCCCCAGATATCCTGAAATATAAATTCCTTATGTGACTGGTAGGACATGAGGCATTGAATTAATTAAGAACTGTAAAATGCTTCGAAGAATAAGAATATATAGTAATGCCCCAGATATCTTGAAACATAAATGCCCCATGTCCTATCATACTCACGTTTATTTATTACACAGAAAACCTCTCGTCCTAATTATTTTTTGTTTTACCAGTTCACGGCCGTGACCAACCCACTTTCTGTTTGGGAAGCCGCAAAAAGGGCTCTGCCGCGGGCGTGTTGCGCGTGCAGCACTTAGTTGCAACTGCATATGCGGCATATGGGGACGTAATCGCGTCGTCTTATTAACGGTCGCGGCCGTAAACACGGTCAGTCGATTTAAATGTTGTTGATATTATTGTTATTGTTATTGTTGCTTTAGTCGCTGATGTTTAATTGATAGCGTCATTGTTACTGCTACTGCTGTATCTGTAGATGATGGTGTTGTTGTTCTGGGAAAATTGTTTTGCTGCTACTCGAGTTTTTGCTGCTGTTGTTGGTGGTGATGCTGCCGTTGATATTGTGGTTGATATTTTGATAGCGTACTACTGTTGCCGCTCATGTTGCTGTTGTAGGCGCTACATTTGCTATCAATGTTGTCCCTCTTGTGGAATCGCATTTCCGCGCACACCGGCGTTTATAATCCATCATAAACCGTCGCAGTTACGCAGCAGGCGACTTCGACCCTCTTTAAGTCCGTTTCGAGATGATGGAATTAGAGTAGCAGCAGGAGCTCTACTCAAAGACGCAGCATCCGGAGCAGCCTCAGATGACGATGCAGTCTCGTATGGCAGCGGTTAAGGTATGAGATGTAGGTGTTGCAGTAGATCTTGTCTCGTGCACGACCGACGCAACACGCGCCCGCCGGTGCTCGATGAATTAACGGGTGCATGTGCGTGTGTGTTTTTAGCTAGAACGGACGTGTGTTGAGATGCTTCTACTGAGTTGCGTTTGAGACTAATGACATAATTACTTTGAATGATGGGTTTGATTAATCTGCAAATTTATTTGCTAGGACCAACTGTGAGGGTCGAAGTACTCTGCATCGTGCTCATACAAATTGCTTTGAGAACCATTGATATTGAAGCAGAATTAAAATTGATGTGCTATGCCTAAATTTATTGAAGTGTGACTGCATTATGATTATTGCCATGTAAGGCACTTAATTATACAATGAAATAGAGCAATTTTTATTTTCTAATATCTGGAACAGTGTGATTATCTTAATTTTCACCTAAGACAGGTCTTATAAGGGTTAATTGATGCGGTATATAGAAATGGTAAAATATTTACGAACATATCATTTTTATCAAATTTCTCTTGAAGCTATGATCTTTATAAAGCAGCAAAAGGTCTTGATATATGTGATATTGGCCACAGTAAGCATTACCTGACCTAACGTCTTGTTTCAATAACACGTCCTACCAGTTAAATTAATGTGCAGAATAAATGAAGGTATATGACTCATATTGTCATGAAGGTATTATCATTTATTTGCATAAATTTCAATTTATATCTGATCATCAAGACCGATAAAGTGACACACACTCTAATCGATTCATTTTAATGTAATTGTAATA